GCAACCTCCCGCGTGCATCCATAACTCAATAGTGCACGCTATGGCGTTTACCATTTGTTAATTGGGTGCAAACGACAAATTTGAAAAATTTAGGCTAAACTTTTCAGGACGCGCAAACCGTGACGTAGCTCCTTTAACTTCATGCAAAGTTGTAGCAATGGCCATCAGCTATTATCAATGCCATTGTACACTTCATTACTTAGCCGTTCTCGTCCCTAGAGCCTCCGTTTCTTTTATCGACATTTCAAAGCGAGTAGCACTGGGAACGAGAATGTCACTTCACGAAATATAAGCCCGGCCTCACAGGAGGAATATTGTAACCTGTGTTGCAGGCGTCAGTTGGGGAAGGGGTAGGGAGGCAAAAAACGCCAGGAAGTCCCACTCCTTCCATCCTGCTACGCGGGCTACAATGTTGTGAAGCGCCAACTTCTAAAGAGTTCAGGCAAGAAGAGAACCGGACCCCTGGAACTACTACAACAGAAGACTGAGAAAATGTTCTTTATTAATATTACATTATTTTTGAAAACAATTTCTTAACTACAAGTGTCTATGGCTTCGCGTCTGGTACTCCATAATTTAACATACAAAACTTAGTCATACTTAGAAATTGGTCACTTGCATTATGAAGTCAAATCAATTAAGGTGTTTACCATGTCTGAAGGAACCGGTTGGTATGATTGTTTAATAACGTATGATAAAGGGGTATTTCTCTAAAATTCGGAAACCGCCGAATAAGATCGCGCCTACCATTTACAAAAAGGTTTCTGGTAATCGTTTCCGTTTTATAACAGATTAGGAACTGGAGGAATGAAAAACAAACTTTAAGTACATTTTCTACGCTCCATTCCCAACGGAAATTGTCTGATCTATTTGACTTTCAACCCAAATTTCCGGATTTTATTTCACTGAATGCACCCTTTACTTAAAACTCTCCAGCACGAGACCGCTGGACGCGATGGGGAAAAATAATTTTAACAAATAACAACAAATACTTTCGCCTGCCTGTTTCTCAGGAGCTTTAGAATAAAATAACTCTAGCACATATAATTACGTATTATAAATATGTTTTTACTTTTTGTTGATAAAACAAGTGGAGTACACATTTTTAATTCACACTCTTAACGGAGAACTTCACTAGGCTCTCACTTCGCCACTCGTAAAATAAAATGCTGCGGTTTCTTTGTTTTAGCAAATTATAGTATCTATGTTTATTCGATATTTAAGATAATCTATCTGTAAAGTGTGAAATGGTGTAATGTATTTTCTCGATTACACGTCAGGTCTCGACTAAAAGTCAGTTCTTCTAAACTAGACCCTCAGGGATTATATGTCCGAGGAATAATAAACTTTAGGTATAATTATAAGATACTAAGCTCTACAAATAATGAATAAAAACTCTAATACAATCGAATAAATTGCAAAAATCAAATAAACACCTGAAGTTTGAAATAAACGCTGGGGGCGTTAAATCGAGAAAACACGGTAGTCGCAGTCTTACAAAAATGCTACCACACGAAAAACGTCTCAACAAGAAAGGTTTTCAATTGAGTGCCTCAAACCATCACCAAAGTTATAATTTTGGCCAATCACAAAGGACACGGACAATCCAGTGAACCAATCAAATTTCCAAGATCAAATACTTGTAGCGACGAAAAGCGCGGGAAAACATGCGCGGGCAAATAACGAATGTTTTTGGTTTTCTTTCTGATTGGATGATTAAGGGGCGCGAGTTTTTCTTTTTCAGCCAATCGTGTAGACCAAAACAAATCCGAACTACTTTCTACACTCAGGTGAAAAATGCTCTAATACGTAGACTTAGCCAAGCCTAACAGCGGAGCTCCTGATTACAATAAGTTAACCATAAAGGAAAAATAAAGCATTTTTCTT